AATACGTATGTTTATAGGGGTATAAACATACGTATTTTTACGGATGAGCCAAAAATTGTAGGTACCGCAACTTCAAAATGTTCAACGTGTTCTGAACTTTTGACGAGGAATCATGTCTTTTAGAAGTCTCATTGGACTTCATTTTGCAATTACGGACTAAAATTTCCGGCTCATTTAAAAAACACTCATCTACATAGCGAAATTAACGGCACATGCGTTGTTTCTGAAATGAACTGGAAATATAGTAGTTCCTAATGGACCACTAGACAAGGTACGAATTTAAGCATTCTGGTACATGTTTCTCAACCAGAATTTCACGTAGAGCACGATTCGAACATCTAAAATTACTGAAATTAATTTCTAACTAAGATATTAACGTTTTTTTTTATTTTACATTAGTTACGGGAATGTTGAATTGCCTGGTCACAAGAAACGCAATTCGCTACGTAAGTCGAATCGGGCCTCACAACAGTTTTGGCAGGCTTCTCAATCAAACATTGTTCATTTCCCACCCTGTATCGTTCAAATTGTAAACAATTTGCTATAGCTGAGCCGAAGCGTCAAGATTGAGGTCGCCATATTTTCACATCGCGGAGACTGCCGCGGTAACGTTTAGTGTACGATTTGACTCACGTATAGATATTGAGTTTTCATGAGCGGGAGGTTTGAATTCACGCGTCTAGAACCATTAAATATCTTTGTAAGGAGTTAACTTCAGTAATTTTCGTCGTGCGAATCGTGTTTTACATGAAATTTTGGTTAAAAAACATGTATCAGAATGCCTGACTTCCTACCTTGTCCAGTGGTCCATTGTAAAATGTACAGTCCAATTGGACCGCGTTAGTAAGGAACCAAGCCACATCAGCCATTGCCAGATTTAACTGGGCAATCTACTTTTTTTCAAGGAAACTTTGGTGCAGATTCCTATGAACATGTTGAGGAATTTGCTTTGTACTATTCAGAATATTCGCTGAAATTTACACAAAATTCCGCAGAACCGTTTTCATGTAAGAAATTAAATTGTTAAATTAAATTTGGCTTTAGCTGATGTGCCCTGGTTCCTTTCTGCTTAATGCGGTCCAACTACTTCCTTGTCCAGTGGCAAATTTACATAAAGTTCCAAGAAAAACTGTTTTGCTCTAACAGAAAATAAAACTTAATCTAAGTTTTGTAACAGCGTACCCGAAGTTAGGCTTTTTCTCCAGTTGAACGATGGATGGGAGCCCAGAGGGTAGCGATGGAGTGGCGGCCTTTCCCTCATCACTGACACGAGTCATTGATTCGTGACAGCTGTGAGAGACATAATGCGCCGGCTAGAGCTTTAAGCTGGCGTGAGAAAGAGCTTAATTTCAAAATTGAATCGGGGATTAAACCGATGCGCATGAGCCGGATTTGCCTCTCGTCGAGAATTACGTGTTGCTGCCACCATTTTCGAGTTTCATAACGACTCCGGCCCAGTCTATTACTTCATTTAATCATACGACCCGAAGATTTCCTATCCTCGTCCACGCTCCATGTCCGCACGATAATATTATTTTCTCAAACTCATTGAAGAAGAATTCATCGAATTAATTTGATTAAATCGTGGCACGCAATCAAAATCGAATCGCTCCGCGGGACACATCGGATTCAAGGATCAAGTCGACCCCCATAAAAAGCAGAGGTGTATATCGATTGCACCTCCGCTATCTTGAATTCAATTTTAATTTATAGTGATAGCTCTTACTTGAGAAACAAAGCCTATGATAAAATTCAGTTGTTCTATCGTCGGACTAGAGGGTGGGTTGGCGGGAGAAAAATTTGGAGTTGACTTGTAATTGGTGATAAAAATTTTATTGGCAGGGTCTCAGTTCTCATACATCCTCATAGTCCAAATAGCACAGGTTGCAATAAATTCCACTCACATCGTAATTTTTTTGCTGTATTGTATCGATGTATTGCGGTGATGTTTATTCACTCCTCTTATCGAAATTTTCATCGAAAAGAATTGCAATAAAGCTTAGATTTGTACCAATTTTTTGCAAAGCAAGTTGCGAGTATGACTCATTGATCGTTTAAGTCAGCATTCATGGACCAAGCCCTGTGAAAACATTGCAGTTTCATTGTGTACCTAAATCACAAAATTATTTCAATGTTTTCCTTACACTGTGCTACTTTAGATGCGTTCGTAAATAGAGTCAAAAATCGACAATATGAGCTTTTTAAACAGTAAACAGCCCATGTCCCTTTTTCGAGATCACGTCAGTGAAATTTTTTTTGACGGGTGAACCGGGAAACATATTCCAATGGCCGAAAACGAAATCATGTATCTCCGTTTGCGACGTTGCACACCTCCTGTTATACTTTATTTTTTCTCTGAAAACTAGCCATCGTAATTTCTTGAAATCGTCCCTGAGTTTTCCTCTTTGTCAGCAGAATATCTTGTAAAAATGTCAAGCTCTAAAGTGACCTTGTATCTCATCGAAAAAACAAAATAGGACCTGAAATTTTGAAACACCCCAATGGAGATACGTGCTTCCGCACTTCGACCATCGATTTGGCACTTCCTCGGAGTAGCCTGAGGGTTGACGAGCAATTTTGCATGCTCGTCAGTGCGCTCCTTCGGCGTTGAGCCTTGGAAATTGGCTCGGTTCGACTCCAGTTGGACGCGGCGCACAGTGAACCGAGTCAATAAGAGATGTCGGACAAAATTTTGGAAACTTTGCAAGCTTATAACTCCGTTTATGCACGACTTTGACGTTCTAAAAGTGGTTTGATTGGTTTCCTCGTGAAATGGAGATGTTGCATGTGTGCGGGATTTGCGATTTGACCATTGATTCTTAAGTAAAAGTTCGCGAGAAACACGATAGTGCCACTGGTTTTCTCTGAGATCATCTCCCAAGCTCAAAAACAGCTCTCAATTTGAGACCAAAATGGAGGGGATATCCCACCCCCCCCCTGAGAGTCCACCTCTACATCAAGATAAACTCTTCATGCAAAGATAGGGAGCAAATACATTAGCAGGGTTGCCGTGTTTTCAGTTTTGGAGTCCTCAAATGAAGTGGCAACCCTGCTAATGTATTCGCTCCCTATCTTTGCATGGAGAGTTTATCTTGATGTAGAGGTGGAATCTCAGGGTACGGTGGGATACCCCCTCCATTTTGGCCTCACTTTCAGAGCTTTTTTTGAGCTTGGGAGATGATTTCAGAGAAAACCAGTGGCACCATCGTGTTTCTCACGAACTTTTACATAAGAATCAATGGTCAAATCGCAAATTCCTCACACATGCAAAATCTCCATTCTCTTCCCGAAGCACACCTTGAAATTTAAAATGTGACGGAATTAACACCAAAATTTCCAGTTTTAGTCTAAAATTTCATTTCCGACCTGTCTGGTTGACTCGTTCCCACTGTGCGTGCGTCGGTTGCGGTCGCGGTGGACGCTCCACTTTGGCGGCACGCGCAGGCAAGGCGCAGGCACGGGTAAACAATCGCAGGCAAAGGAGCCTTAGATCCAGCGCGCGCGGAGGCCTGGAGGTGCAGGCTGCGCTAGCCAGTGGCGCTGTGCTACATCTCGGAGCTTAGATGAATGGATTATAGCAATTATTACTTAATGAGTCTCGTACTTGCATCTCTGATCAAACTTGCTTCCAAGCTCCGCTAATTCTTCCTACTTCCACGCAGGCTCCCCATTTCCCGGGGCAAAGCTCCCTATTATTCTCCTCTCGAGTTTGACAGAGTTGGGTCTTTAGCACCTTTATGTAGGGCGCTTTGATGAAGCGCATACAGGGTGTTCGAAAAGTCCCCTCCCCCACTCTAACTTTTGACCTAATTGAGGTGGAAATTTGAAACTTGGACCTATTTATGCTGAATGGAACTATGTGCTAGTAGAAAGATGGGGTGTGCTCGTCAGCTCAAGCCATAAGAATGAATTGGATTTTAAAAGCGCCAGTGACGTCAGTGGTCTCGACAACGCGCGACGGAGCGACGACAACTAGGTCGTCATTCTTTAACTCATGAGCCCTGTCCACAAAGCTCTTGTCACATGCCCACGGCTCACGAGTTCCTTTTGATTTAATGTCAAATCCCGCTTTTCCATTTTCTCAAAAAGAACTATATCCACCTTTACATTGTTTTTTATGCAGCTTGCACGAGCACACCCTATCTTTCCACTTGCTCATAGTTCCATTTAGCATAAATACGTCCGCTTGGAGAATGTTCTTAGGTCAAAAAGTAGTTCCCTTTGACCTGGGAATGCCAAGTTTCAAATCTCCACCGCAAGTAGGTCAAGTTAGAGGAGAGGGACTTTCCGAACACCCTATATAACTCTATGTACCGGGATGAGCCGAAGAAACGCTTGTTACGCTATGAATTGATGTCACAAGAAGAGGGGTCCCTTTTTTAATTTTTTTTTTTATTTTGGGGGGGGGGGATGCTTTCCTCTCTGGCTTCCCAGCGGGGCGATTATTGAAATGTCATCGACTCTATGTCGCCGCTTACGACAAGACTAGATAGCCTTAAGAATAGCCCTATCTTAACCGTGCAATATATCGCAATTCGATGTCTTATCGGGCTGGTTTAAATTTCAATAATCGGCCCGCTGGGGGACGGGTTTCAACCGATTTAAATAGATCGTATTCAATACATCAAACAGGAGAGATTGTATCGATATCGATTGGTTCAAAACATAAACATAGCCTCAAAAGTTAATTTAGAAATCGGAGGGAACGGGTCTTTTGTAACAGATGTTTTATTCTTTTGAGTACCAAATGCCAGTGCAAAATGAAATTGTCAGGAAATTTCTCATTTTCAGCTTTTCCAACTTAAATCCTCACAGTTTGGTTCGAGGTTATGTTCTATTGTTTTGAACCAAACGATACATCGAACCGTTATCGAATACGGTCTATAGAGGAAGAACAGTGTTGCCAACCTGCAAAATCACCACCGCTGATGATCGATTTCGATGTGCGTGACATTTCCCTTATGTGATCGTTGCTGATGGTTCCGTTTTCTTTGTTACAGAATTGGGCGGAGAAGGAGGCTGGAAAAGTGGTGGTGTACACGACGTCTATGGGAATCATCCGCGAGACTTACCAGAGATGTTTGAAAGTGAGGCAGATCCTGCGGACGCATCTAGTTAAATTCGAAGAGCGGGACATCGCCGGTTCCAGGGAGGTCCTCGCCGAGATTAAGGATAGGATGAATAGCAAGCAAATTCTAGTGCCACAAGTCTTCGTCGAAGGACAACACATAGGAGTAAGTATCGACCAGATTCTAAATTTCAATAAAAATTTATTGTTTCACAAATCTTTCAAAAATTTGAAATAAACATTCATAGATTTAAAGAAGAACTTCTTCGTCGTAAGGAAGGGCTAATGGGCCAGGAGTTGCGGTTAAACTTAAGGTTATTTAATTTTGTTCTAGCAAACTGCATTATTCACCAAATCAAAGATAAAAATGTGTAATAAAATTTTAATAAGTGAAATTTTTAAATGTTAAACTTTTGCTAATATTAATCTGTAATAGGTACTACTTAAAAACTAGGATTAGATACCCTGCTATCAAAATAACTTTTTATTAAAGTATGAGAAAGATAAACTTACAATTTTTGGCGGTAGCTTAAACTTACTAAAAGAATCTGCTCTATAATGATTGACAACTCACAGTTCAAATCAATTTATGATCTTCGATTATTTCATTTATTTGTGAAAGCACATTTTTTGGAGACTTTAACGAGAGAGTAGAAAAATAAGCAAAGATTACCCGGTTTATCAGGGCCATATATGCATATTCGTTCCTTATAAACAGCCCATTCCGGCTCATCTACAATTTTTTTAATAATTCAAAATACATTTGCTCGCGATTTAAAGAAGATATTTTTCGGAATACGCTACGGCTAACGAGTTCTGAAATGACTTGTCCTACTGATTTTTTATTCTTGAAACCATCTTTCAATATACTGTAAAAAGCACTTTTCTAGGAGACTGTAACGTAAGAGTAGAAAAATAAGTAATGACGACCTGGCTTATGAGGGCCACACTCCTATTGTTCAGCTTTCCTTAGACAGCTCCTTTTCTCTCGTTATAGAGGGGGACTCTCAGGGTAGCGTCCCAGTCAGCACCGCAATATTTTTAAAACATTTTTAAAACATTTTTGACATTATTTTGTAATTATTTTTAAAACATTGTCAAAATATTTTCAAAATTGCTACATGTTAACTCCATGTACATATTTTAAAAATATTTTCAAGGAAAATTTTAAAAATATTTTCAAGGAAAATTTTAAAAATATTTTCAAAATATTTTATCGAAAATATTTTACCGGAATGTTTACCTATTTGTATACCATGCGCGCTCTATCAATGGTTATTGACACTCTTCCCTTCTGTATACTCAGCGCGCTCTGTCAAGTAGATGTGGAAGTACAGGCATATTTCGTCATTTTCATAGTACTGCATTTTATTACATTTGAAACATGAAATACACAAGTACTGAACATTTTAAACCACTTACCTGAATTCCTGCGACGTTTAGGAGCGTAAAACACCCGGACGCCCTCGTGCGGACTGGAACCTGGGCCGCGGGTTTGATAGCCGAGCACTCTAGCCACTGAGCCACAGAGCGCTCATGTTGGGCTGGGTTAAAATCACGCCTGTTATAGCATGCGCGGCTCGTTCCTGTTATTTGTTTTTTTCGATCTCACGTAATAGGTACTTACATTAAATTTACACTAATGTAAATAACACCTCATAATAACTGAAAATAAGGACTTGAAAATATTTTCAAAAAATATTTTTAAAATAATTCAAAAATATTGTTTGTAAATATTTTTTAAAAAATACTTTAAAAATATTTTCAAAACTTTTTTATTAATATTTTAAAAATGTTTACAGACAATATTTTTGAATTATTTTCAAAATATTTTCGAAAAAATATTTTCAAAATATTACTTTAAAAAGTTTTGAAATATTTTTGAAAATAGTTGGAAAATATTTTTTAAAAATTATTTACGTGACAATATTATAGAAATATTTTTATGCTTTCATTTTATAAATAATTACATTAAATATTTTTACAATATTGCTTTGTTAATTATTTTTTAAAAGTATTTTCCAATTATTTTCAAAATTTTTTAGCAATGTTATTTAAAACTTTTTCAAAAATATTTTTTAAAACTATTTTAAAAAAGTTGTATCAATATTTTTCAGAGGATATTTTAATAGCAATAATGAAAATATTTTTAAAATGTTTTTAAAATATTGCGGACTGACTGGGGTATCCCCTGTAATAGGGCCTCAACTTTGAGCGCTTTTTTGAGCTTATTGGAGTTGATTTCAGAGAAAACCAGCGGTATCATCGTGTCTCTCGCAAAATTTTACACAGGAATCAGTACTTAAATGGCAAATTCCTGACACATGCAAGAGCTCCATTCCCATGAGACTTAGGTTGTTCTTGTCCAGCACTGTTGACTTGTCTCGCTAGTATCTCAGCGGGAGACTTCGTGGGGAGGAATTGGAAGGAATACAGTAAGGACGAATAAAAAAGCAAACCCGCATTAAGTTCGTCGCGCGGAGGCGAACTTTCTAGCGCCGGACGAGAGAAATACTAAAACCACTCATTTATCCGATGCCTTCATCGGGGACTTAAGTGGTTCTTGTCGAGGAGTTCAGTTCTGCGCAGTTCTTCCGAGAACAAGAGCGTCGAAACGGAGTTTTTTTCCGCCGGAATCGGGTTTTGAGTGGCTTGGCACTGAGTTTACGATTCCTCATTCCATGGCGACGTCGCCATCGTTTCGTTTGTGAAAGTTACAGGTTTTTGTTTTTGTTTTTTTTTTCCTCGTCGGTTTTATTTTTGGAGACGATATGCATTTGGACGGCTGCCTTTTGACGCGGAGGTCGGCGTTATGCAATTCGATCCGACTTTAACGGCGATATTATTCGGTTCATTTCCTGCACTTGAATTGCTCGTGCAGTTACTATATTACGGTTGGGTTGGGTCAGGTTCAGAAACAATATATGTCTATGCTCTGCAGGGTGATTATTGAAATTGATAGATGAAACTGTGGACAAAACAGACACAGGGAGCGATCTTTTTGGTTGAAATGGGTGGTTGTTATCAGTGGCGTGGCGTGAATTGCGATATATCGATTGTTATGCCATTTAAACCTATGGTAAAGAATCGATTATTAAGGTGTTCGCTGCGAACACCTTGTCTATCAATACTTTTTCATAGGTTTAAATGGCCGATCAATCGATATATCGCAAAGCACACCACGCCACTGGTTGTTATAGACTATAAGGAAGAAAATAATAGACTAACTATAGGGTCTCTTGTGGCATAAAAAGTTAACATTAATACTATTAATATCATAAATGTAAATTTATCGTAGATTTTAATTTGATTAATTTTAATAGAAATCAATATAAAGTGGGTTGCCGTTAGTTAGTTTATTACCTACCTCCACCCCCTTCCACCATTAAGATCCCACTGTATCCCTTTCGTCTCCTTTATCTATAACTTTGTATATCAATTTCAATAATCAGCCCGAAGGTACGAATAAAGGCGGATTTTCGCTGGTAGATTTGGTTTAAGTTTTTAATCTGCTGCTAACCCCTGTCATAACAAAACAAAATTGCCCTCCGGTGATATATCGCCCAAAACATTTGGTTTTCATGCAGTGGCGTGGCGTGAATGATCGATTATCGATATTTCCCCATTTGAATTCGTGGTAAAGAATCGATTATTAAGGTGTTCGCTGCGAACATCCTGTCAATCGATCATTTTCCATGAGTTTAAATGACAGATCTATCGACATATCGCGTAGTACGCCACGCCACTGTTTTCATGCTAACAGCAATGACGACCACATCCAAAATTCTCGACGCACCTCCCGAGGTTGATTGAAGAGTGGATGGATGCAAACTTTGGCCGAAGCTCATTGAACAACTATATTTAGTTCCATGACTTGAGCAGAGCGTTTTTCTCCTTTGGTTTGGCCAAATCGACCAAATACTTTCGCGAAAATTTGCCTTAACCCGTTACCTTTCCGGCCAAAGTAAGCGCCGATTGTTGGAAAAATTGAAATATACAGAATGACTTTTTGGGGCTCGAGACGTTTCTGGTTTAAAAATAGCAATTCAGTTGTCGAAATTTTTAATTTTTAACTTTTTGAAAAACATCTATCGTCCATTGTTTAATAATGTAAATTCTTTAAAGAAATAAAATACAGCTTATCACGAGCGCTAAGTCTAGCAACCGGGCATTGCGAGCGCCAGGATGGACACTAAACTTAATTTTTTCCCTTAAATTTGATCTTAATAAGATACTAGAAGTGATTCTGAACATGCTCTCAAAATTTCCAGTCTCCGTTGTAGTTATAACAGCAGTTTTTAATTTCTTGCGTTTGTCAATGGTCTTACAGAGATAGGTATTTAATTGGCGCTTGTGATACATTGACCGGAAGGAGACGGAAATTCAAGATCAGGCTTCAGATTTCAATTCATTTTTTGAAGTGTTTCAGTGATTTGTAAACTTATCGAAAAATTTATGAAATGGCCACCTAGGGTGGTCCATGCAGTTATTAAACTTTGTAACTTCATGTTTCAGGATGCCGAAACCATTGACCGGCTAAATGAATCAGGAGAGCTTCGAAGGATTTTAAAACCTTACAGAGTAAGTCATTTCCACTCATAAATTTTTTTTAATCCTCATACTTTAATGATCATTCAATTTAGAACTTAGTCCTGCGAAGACAACATTTTCAGAAAAGTGACATTTGTCTCATATTGACGTATTTCTGTCAAACGAAACATTGTGCATTATGGCGCCCTGTTATGCGTACATTCTTATGGGTCTCAGGGCTCATGCCTTAACGCGCACAGTTCTGTTTGGCAGAAATACGTCAATTTGTCCATCGCTTTGCCTATCGATTTCAATAATCAGCGCGCTCGGGCGAATGAGTTTTGCTTCGGACAGGCGAATCCTGGTAGCGGTCGCGGGTTGATTGAACCGGGCAAGTTGCGAGGCGGAATAGGCAATCCGGTCGACGGAAACTTGCATCGATAGCCTAGAGAGCGACCTTTATCGATCAACAACATCAAAGGATGGGACTTAATCGATCAAGGTCATTTCGATAAGCTACGGAGGACGGAGGAGGCCTAACAGCTAACAGTCTGCCCGCTGAGCCGCGGCCGTTGAGCCGCTAGTCGCTCGCCGCTCCGCCTTTTTAGTCGTAAATGTCTAACGGGCCCCGGAGGAGGCAGCCAAGACACGCTCGCAGCCACATAAACAGCCACACTCCCGCTCTCGTGAGGCGAAACCCCGTATGGGAATCCAAAAGTTGCCAGGTGGATCAGTGCCGTGCTTTGCGATGGGTAGATTGATCTGTCATTTAAATCTATGGGAAACGTAGGTGGTTCAAAGGGGAGCGTGGGGGGCGTGCAACCCCCCCCCGTTCCCCCGAAAAGAGGGATGAAAAAGAAAGAGGGAAAGAAAGCACTGGAAAAAAATACATTGGATCTAGAGTCCAGACTCTCGAAAACATTGACAAGAAAAAATACTCTTGATTCAATCAGATTTTTGCTTAAATCAAAAGGAAATCCGCGCAAATTAAGAGGCTTGGTTCTTGATTTAAGCAAAAAATCCGATCGAATCAAGAGTATTTTTTCTTGCCGATATTTTTAAGAGTCTGGACTCTAGATCCAATGTGTTTTTTTTTCCAGTGAGAAGAAAAGAGTGGAGGAAAGGAGAAGGGAGGATGCTTATATTTGGTAATTTTGCATGACGAAATTGACTTAAACTAGATGTTAGATGCTACAAAATTCCAACAAATTTCTGAGGGAACCCCCCTCCCCCCCGTTTGAAACGTCTGGATCCGCCTATGCTGGAAAAGGATCGAAAAACAGGGTGTTCGCAACGGACACCTTAATAATCGATTCTTTACCATGGTTTCAAATGAGGAAATATCGATAATAATCGATCATTCACGCTTCGCCACTGAAATGGATGTATAAGATAGGATAAGATATACATATATATTTATTTCAAAATTTAAAGCATATAAGAAAAAAAAATACCTTATCTTATTATCGATCATTCGCACGCTTCGCCACTGAAATGGATATACATAACCCAAAAATTGAGAACTGCATCGACGGTTAAAGTATGACAGCACGTATCCCCGATGCAGCGTTTCAAAATCTCCGCTCTTAGTTGATTTTTTCGAGGAGGAACAAGTCAACAGGATAGGTTGAATTTCATACAGAATATTCTACTAACAGAGAAGAAAAATCAAGGTTTTCAAGAGATTACGTTGCCTCGTTTCCCAAAGAAAAAATAAAGTATGACTGGAGGTCTACAACGTGACAAACCGAGATACGCAGTCCTGCACTTCAGTCATCGATATCCATTCTACCATGAGCCCTGAAATTCACGAGAATAGTTTCATGACTGGGCTCATGTCACAATGAACATATAGAGTGATCCCAGGTTCAATCCCCAGACCAGACTGTAGGGAAGTGTTTTGTAGACCAAAATAGAAATCTTTCTTCCTTGAAATTCTTTCCAAGGGGGGGGGGGGGGGGAGCTAGCTGCTTCCCCCCCCCCTCCCTCAAGTTCTGGATATTAAATCGGTTTTTTTTCTGCATTTCAGCAACGATATTGCACCGAGCCTCATAAAAGTTAAAAATTTATTTGAATTGTCTGTTTAAAATGCAAACTACCAGTGGCGAGACATGAATGATCGATTATGGATATTTCCCCATTTGAAGCTATTATTAAGATGCTCGTTGCCAACTCTCTGCTTATCGATCCTTTTATACAGGTTTGAATGGCAGAGCAATCGATTTATCTCAAAGTACGCCACGCCACTGTAGACTACGAACGTTCATGTCATAATCCTTGCTACTGGAGTGTTGTCCCTGGAAATACAGATACGCTTGATCAGATTTGAGTGAACTTCAAGGAAAAATTAAAGAATAGTGTAGTCCCCGTCCGATACTTAGGAAAATTCGGTTTTTATGAAGGGAAATCTGGCATCATCTGAATTTGGATGGGGCGTTTTTTCCTCAAGACGGGAGCACAGTCCTCGTGCGAGTGCAGCGGGAGTGTCGACTGTTTAATCAACTTCCTCTCACGCTGCAAATTAAATGATGCGTGCCTAGTTTTATTACACTCATTTTCACGTTTTAGGATTCAAGCGGATTAAGTTGGTATTACTGTCCTCGGGAGGGGAGGGGGGGCCCTCGGGCCCGGTAGGCCTCGCACTCTTGATCCCGTTTCGGACCATCCACTGTCAGATTTCTCGCGAATCGCCCACTTTAACTATAGACAGGCTAAGGTTTCACTTCAGTCGGAGCAGACTCGAGGTTTCTCACATGGAGATTTTTGAGGGAAAGGAAGAAGATAATGAAATAAAATATATATATATAAAAAAAAAAAAACTCAAGTGCAAGAGTTAGGGACTCCTGACTTAAACCAGATGCAGACGTATTAGAGATCAGAAAAAGATGGAAAGCAAGAACATGAAGAGGAAGAAGGAAATGAGCCACAAGCATAGGAAGGAGGGGAAAAGGACAGGACCGAATTTACCTACTTGCCGCCCTTTCTCATTAGTTTTGAAACATCAATAAAAACCATCAAATGAACGTGCCAGCGGGGGAGGGGTGCATAAGACGCGTTTACTCGTGTTGGACACATTTTTTGCGAAAGCCCTGTCACCGCTACTAGCAAAAGTTCACGGAACTTTGTGTGAAAGTTAGGTTTCGTAAACCTACCTCTGTGTGTACAAGGCCTTCCATTCATAAGAAATGAACGAAAAGAACAAACATAAATGTGGATTAATGATTTTAACTTCCGCCGACGCGCCGCGCTGACCGAATGACCGCACCGTGTTTGGCGCAATGCGTGAAGTATTCCGACAGTCTTGTAGGCGCTGTGAGTTTCACGCCGACGCGACCGCTGCTGAACGCACTGTGTTTGACGCAATGCGCGAAGTATTCACGCAGTCTTGTAGGCGCTATCCGTTTTACGCTGACCGCAATGACCGCACTTTGTTTGATGCAATGCGTATTCGTGCAGTCTTTGTGCCGCTAATATGTGTTACATGCCGATCGCCGCGCCGAGGGCTTCTCCTTTTCATCTCAAGTCCTCGTCATCATTTCTCTCTAAGTCGCGCCGTCCCGGGCCAAATTGCGTGTTTTAACTATTTGGTTTCTCTCTTAACATGAATAATTAAAGGTGCTGTCTCTTGTATCTCTGAAAGACGACAAAATTATAAATTATTATACCCTCAGGAAATGAGAGATTTTGTCGCCTTCTCTCGTTTGTACTTTTTTTTTTCTAAATCCGATTTTTTTTAATACCTACATTTAAAAAAATTGCAAAATTTGCCGCCCCCTATAGATTTGCCGCCATGGGCCGCGGCCCATGTGGCCACCCCCTTAATCCGGCCCTGGAACAGGAAGAACTAGACAGAGAAAAAGTTATTCTAATTCCTCTACTCCTCACGGAATGGTTCACGGAGAACATTTCCAAGTCACTGGTAAAATAGTGCTCTTGTGTGAAAGATTCGTTAAATATGGGGTGATAAGCAGTGGCGTGGCGTACTACGCGATATATTGGTTGCTCTGCCGTTTATACCTATAGAAAAGGATCGACAAATAGGGTGTGCGCAACGAACACCGTAATAATCGATTCTTTACCATTTCTTTCAAATGGGATAATATCAATAATCGATCATTCACGCTTTGCCACTGGTGATAATAACTGAGGATTTCTTACCACCACCCGTTGCGGTGGCGCGGCTTCTTAAAAGCCGAAAATTCAAATTCGATCTTAAATCAGTCACTTTCCCCAAAGAGACCCTGCATGGTTTAGGTTGGGGGTTCGAAGAGATTTAAGGAGAACTCTAACATAGAATCATAAGAAGGATATGGTCGTTGTACGCCGGAGGTATAGATAAATAATTTAGAGCGATAGCCAAAGTGCGAAACCACGTATCTCCACTTGCGACGTTGTAGACTTTCTGTCATACTTAATTTTTTCTTTAGGAAACGTAATTTATTGAAAACTTTCATGGTCTTTCTGGTTCATCAGCAGAATGGAGATGTTGCGTGTGTGAGGGATTTGCGATGTGACCATTGATTCTTTTGTAAAAGTTCGCAAGAAACACGATGGTGCCGCTGGTTTTCTCTGAAATCATCTCCCAAGCTCATAAAAAGATCTCAAGTTGAGGCCAAAATGGAGGGGATATCCCACCCTACCCTGAGAGCCCACCGCTACATCAAAACAAACTCTCCATGCAAAGATAAGGAGCAAATACATTAGCAGGGTTGCCACTTTATTTGGGGACTCCAAAACTGAAAACACGGCAACCCTGCTAATGTATTTGATCCCTATCTTTGCGTGGAGAGTTTGTTTTGAGGTAGAGGTGGACTCTCAGGGTAGGGTGGGATACCTCCTCCATTTTGGCCTCACTTTGAGAGCTTTTTTTGAGCTTAGGAGTTGATTTCAGAGAAATCCAATGGCATCATCGTGTTTCTCACGAACTTTTACATAAGAATCAATGGTCAAACCGCAAATCCCTCACACATGCAACATCTCCATACCCTGTATGGATTTCAAACTGAAAAGTTTGCTTGTTTCTTCTTGAAAAAATAAAAGGGGAGCGGAAATCTTGGAACACCGCAAAGCAGGGGATACGTGGTTTCAAACTTCGGTCCTCGATAAGCGGTAAAATCGCACGGAAACCACGAGGAGCGGTGAGCGGTGAGCACATCAAAAAAGATCGAGGAGAAAGATGCAGGATTCGTTGGTCAACTTATCATGTGCTAATCACGGGCATTAAATCAGCGTGGCAACATACATTGTACCTCCGTCCGTACTTCCAATTGCATAGGATTCATACCGGTTAGCATATTTTTCTGCTCCTCTTCGCCATAGCATCTTGCACTCATGCCGCTCAAGTTGCACCAATTAAAAACTCGATCTTCTCAGTGTTGCCGTGCCACTGACCGAGGGAACACGCTGATGGTCCGATTAGATTAAGCATCCCAGCGGATTGATTATTTATAGACTAAGCTATAGACAAAGAGGACATAGGGAGTATGGAGCAATCCTATTGGTTAAAATGGGTGGTTCGTATGTACTAAGGGAGAAAATGGTGGACTAGCTATATAGGGTCTTCCGTGAGCTGCTGTTAGTTAGTCTATTTCCTGCCTCTTTTGTCCATCGCAACCAACCGCTTCCATCGATGGGATCCCTCCATACGCATATAGTCTTCTTTGTCTATAGCTTGCTCTATTCATTTCAATAATCAGTCGTAAAGATATATTTACACATCAAAATTGCACGCGATTGTGGCTGATTATTGAAACTGATAGACAAAGCTATAGACAAAGGAGACATAAGGAGTATGGAGCGATCTTATCGGTTGAAACAGGTGGTTGTTATAGACTAAGGGAAAAATGATGGACTAACTGTGAAATCTCTCTTGGGTTTCCGTTAGTTAGTCTATTACTTTGTTCCTTTGTCCATTGCAACCACCCGTTTTTACCATCAGGATCTCTCTACTTTCTCTTCGTCTCCTTTTCCCATCCGTACGTCTATCATTTTCAAAACTTCTGTCCATTTGCAGCCGTTGAGTATCGTCAGCCGACTATTTCCCCTTGACCACCTCCACGTGGCGCCAAAAAAAAAAAAAAAATGATGAAATTTCGACTTTTTTCTCTTGGAGGATGACAATACTTCCTCTCTACCCTAGGGGAGCGAGAAAGTAAAAATTGTAACAATCCGTCGTTTTCTTCACGTAAGAACGAACTACACCTCAAGGTTGCCACATCTTTCCGCCAATTTCGTGCGTGCTGGGTGCGGGTGACCCTGTCGATCCCTCTGTCAATTAATTGCGGCTGTCAGGGGGTGCGGGACTGGCCACCCGTTCCTGACACATGCGAGCAGTAATTGTCAAAACTCAGTTTTCTCCCCGCTTTCAAAGCAACAAAATAAACAAAAAAAAACAACAACAACAAGAAATGTTCCCGCGCGAATTGAATTTTTACCAGGAGAATCTTGGAAATTTCTAACTGAAAATTTTACAAATTTTCCTCTGATAGAGCTCGTGCGCAAATCAGTAAAAATCGAGGAAAAACGTCGCAAGAAAATCCTTGTAAACAATTGAATTGTTCGAGTCAATTTCGCAACCTTGGAGTGGATTCGCGTTCCCTCGTGCAGGGAGCGACGAATCGAACCGCAGAAGAAAATTTCAAGTTTGAACCGAAATCTTGCAAGTGCGGCCTGATCTGGACGAGTCAGACTCACAGAGCAAGTGCTCGGAACTTGGAGTGGCCGGTAATTGGTTTGACATGGACCCGAGTGTGCTGCGTGCTGCGTGCTGCGCCTGACTCCTGATGGACCGGGACCGGGCGAATCGAGGTGCACCATCGCCCGCGGCCTCGCATTTCTCACTGCCCCTCTTACCTCCATTTATTTATAGCCCGCTCGGCCGCAACTCTGGGCACCCGAGAACACTCACAAAATATCCTCGCGATATATTTTACTCAAAGCTCCTCGGACACAGCTCACCGTTAGCCGCGGCACCGGTCCGGCTTTTGGCGGCGACGCACAGTGGATCGAGTCAATAGGAGAACTCAGGCAAAATTTAGAAACTTCAACCGCTTATAACAAGAGTACCTTTATAGGTACTAATAACTACGTCTATATTCACGTAAGTGGGTGAGCTGGCGCCACTTTTAAGCATTTTCCAGGTCCCGAATTCCGAGACTCCTGTGAGACGCCGGGTCACTTTTTCGATACATAATCAATTGTTTGCGATACACGGGTAACCCGCCATCCGATGTAAACAAAGAAGATAGGAATCACCACGTGTTCCACACCGCCATTTTGGATCGAACATGTATCGAAAAAGTGACCCGAACTCGGCGCACACCGGGCTCGGAACTCGTAGAGCAGAGCATGGCGCCAACTCTCCCATTTACATTATGACTCTATGTACTCTATGAAAAAGATCTGTATTAGGCGAGCCAAGAAAGGACTGTTTTATATAAATTTGAATGGTGGAAATACAGTGTTGCGAATTTTCAAAATTCGCCACTGGTATTATCTGGACTGAAAATTTTCAAAGATACAATCCTTTACACTCCATACTACTAATTTAATAAAGTTTGGCTTGGCTTTCTTGAACTTGACGACTTTTGGCGAAGAAAGGAATACTTGTATTGGATTGATGGGCTTCTATTGACACCGGCAAAGTTTTGCTTAGAATCACCGTAATTAATGCGGAGTTCATAGTAACCGGAGTAAATACGGTTCGGATTACTTTGAATTCATTTGTACATGTTTTTTATTCGGTTTATAATCTACTTCCGCTGTCGTGTTCGGCAGACAAAATTCCTAAAACCAAACAACAAGAGAAAGAATGTATATCGACGGAAACAACGGCGCTGCACTTTCTCTTTCATCCAAACGAACTTTCTGGGAATTTTTGGGCAATCTATTCAAGCAGAATACCCAGGGAGCTTTTCTACCGCGCTAAGAAACAACGCCGCATGAGCTCTCCGACATTGCCAGATTTCCTTCGATAGAACATGAATTATCTGAGAAGCTTGTGCGTATAATGGAGGATTTGCAGGTCTGAAATTTGATGAATTTCGTGTTTAAATAAAGACTACTGAGTGAACTGAAGACGAGGATACCCTTGGTTCAAGAATTGAACGATTATTGGAGAAGATATGACAAAACGACCTATCTGCTAAAAGACATGTGCTTAAATGGGAAATGCCGCTAGATGACGTCACTATAGGCGGTGCATTTCCTCACTTTTAAATCTATTTTATACTATTTCTCACATCAGAAAAAATGATAAGAAAGACTGTGAAATCAGCTCTTTAAGCACTTTCAGATGAAGCAATGAAAAATGTGCATGCAAATTCTCCATTCCTCCTATTTTTCAAAAGAGCTTATGACCGTATTTTGATCTCAAGTATCTGAAAATTTTGAGGGACGGTTCACGCGGGTGTTCCTGAAAAATGCACATTTTATTGGGGGATATTTGACAACATCGGGGTGTTAATACGACGTTCTTCTTCGGCTCATGACGCTCTGTGCGTGAGCTCTCGCCGAACTGCCGCGCGCGAATGAGATTGTATCTCTTCATTTGAATGGGGGACGTTGGATTCTCCATGAGAATAGGAATGAGGAATCCCGCCGAGTGCATTTCAATTTGGTATCCGTTTAACGAATCTCAGGCCGTCGCCGTCTTAACTTTCATGAATAGACGCGTCCAGACGCAACGTCATCATCGAAATTCTCCATGAGAACTTTTCCGGTTGTACCAAGAGTACCCATGTGTAAGGGGGAAATCAGTGGGGAGGCGTCAATGATCGATTATTATAGGTATTTCCCATTACTCTTTAAAGGAATTGATCGACACGGTCCCATCACTCCACACATTTAATCTTATAGATACAGATATTTCGTCAATTTGTCAAAACCTGAGATAATTTGTTAAAACCTAAGATAATTGTTAAAACTTAACATAATTTGAAAAAGCTTAAGAAAAATTCTCATAGCCTAACTAGTCTGTTAACAAACAAACTGATCTGTTAATCTTCATTGTACCCATTTTGACTTGTACCCAGAGACAAGAGACCCTCCACTAGTATCTTGGGTATTGTGGAAGCTTTTACTTTCGAGACTTCAGCATTCTACTGTCGACTTACCCACAAGGTTGACATTTAACAACGTGTTGGCAGTTTCGTTTTGCAAACAAGTCGAAAATGGCCGAAGTTAGCGAAACTCGTTTTCACCCGAAGCTCATCATCGACCATGTAGGTACGTCAACAGCCGAAATTGAGGTGATGACTGTTGCTCCCTGATAGTTGTCCAAAATCTTCCACCTGTCGCTAGGAGGCCAGTGGAGGGTCTCTTGTATCTAGCCTAACTTATCATGGCTAATGTATAGAATAAACTGAATTTTAATTTGAATTGAATTTGAATGCCTATGTCTCTCGCTTTGTCTATCAATTCCAACAATGAGCCCTCCGGTAACGATTTTTCACTGAGATAGCCCTGTTTTTCATGAAGCTTGACATTGTACCTTTGCGATGTTTCAGAGTCCGGATACGTGCAATGTGTGTCAGGTGTGTGGCGGCTACCAGCTCCTGCCGTGCGCCCTCTGTAGCGGGAGCAAGAAGAGCGTCCACCGCAACCAGTTCACCGCCGAACTAGTCTCCCTCAAGTGCGTCTACTGCGATGAAGTCGGTCTCGTCAAGTGCTACGCCTGCACCCTCTGACCACCGACCCCCCACCCCCCCAGCCTCGCCACCATGTCTCGGACACGGGGACACGTCCCTTGCGACTTCAGCTCCCCACCGCCCACCGCGGATCATCCCTTCGGACTTGGCGTCACTCCTTCAGCCACCGCTTCCACCAAAATCAAAGCTCTTGCCTTAGGATCAGCCAAAAATCTCCATAATCTCCGTCAACCCCAGTTTGCGTGCACTGAAAAAAAAAGTTCGGTAAATCCGAACTAGTCAGGATCGTATGGAACCAGGTTTTGTTCGTTACACACAACCAAATTATTCGGTCTGTTCAACCGAATTGTTCGGTTTGTGCGACCGAGCCATAATAAATTCTTACAGTTCGATTTAGTGGACCGAACAGTTCGGCTGAGCAGACTGAATAATTCGGTCGTGTGTACCGAAAAAAATAGTGGTTCCATATGATCCTAACTGTAGTTCGAATTTACCGAACTTTTTTTTTTCAGTGTGCTGATCATTGAAATCGACAGACAAACCGATAGACGATTAAGAGATGGGTAATGGAACGATCCTATTAGTTGAAACAAGTGGTTGCTTTGCAATGCACTCAGGGGGTGAATGATGAACTAACTGTAGAGTCTCTCGTTGATCCTCATTAGTTAGTCTATCACTTACGCCTATTCTATCGATTGCAACTACCCGTTTCCACTAACAAGATCGCTCGGAATTCCAGTCACCTTATTTGTCTATCGTTATGTCTAATAATTTCAATAATCAGCCTGCTGACGGACTTGGGTCTTCCAGGCTCAGGGTTTGCTATTATGAGCTTTTTTAGTAATTTTCAGCTCTTGCGTTTTTGAAAATGCGAGCGTGCGATCAGGAATTTCCCCGTCTTTTTTTTTTTTTTTATTGAGCTATACTGAGCCACAAAAAACGGACTGAGCCAAATGCTCTCTCAAATTCCGAACGTGCAAAAGTTAACTAATTGTGAAAAATCTCATTGAGGTGGAGGAGATGAAGAAGAAAAATAAGAAGAACAAGACGAGGGGAGAAAAGGAAAATAAAGAGAGGAAGGAGTGAAGGAAAATTATATTTATTTCGTCCTTTCCTTTCTCCTCTTTGTTTCTGTTCTTTTCCTATGCCTCTGGTTTCTAATCCCTCCCCACCTAACATTAGCAGTCCTCAGCTATCGCACATATGTGTTTTTGTGAAAATCCCTCTTGTAAGGGTTGAAAGAGCCCAATTCCGTTTGACTAAGGTTGAAGCCTCCTAAAAGTTGTCTTTTTTTTGAGAACCCGTGGAATCGAACGGAACCGAACCTCGTTATGAAAAAAATCCCTGTCATATTTTTGAGCTTGAGTTCAAAGCTGTTTTTAGCGATCCAGCACTGTAAAACTGAAAGTTCAGGAGACAAGTTCAGAATTAAATTATAACCAATGCGTATCTTTGCCATTGAAATATGACGGAAAATTCATGTTTGTTTCCAAAAGTAATATTCTAAATTTAAAGTTAGTTGATCAGTGACTTAACACATCGTGAATACCTTTTCACACCAAATTAACGATTTCTCAAGCTCCATGGAACTTTTGAAGGACTACTTTGTTCCTTTTTTACCGTCCCCACCGCATGTAGAATTTCTTCCTTGCACATAATGGGAGATTACAAAATAATTAGACTTTTTAAAGGTGCCAAAATGCAAAATTTTCTGAGGATAAAAATGAGCCGAACTGTGGGGCTCGATAAAAGTTGAGTTTTGAAAATTTGGAGAAAATTCGTGTGAATGGCAGAAAGAGATTTAAGGAGTCGAGGATGAAATGAAAAATGGAGTGACCCTGTAGGAGCTGATATCTTGTTATTCTTTTAACGTATGTATTTAACGAACGTATGTTTGAAGAAAACTAGGACATAGTGTCCGACTCCTTCTACATGAAATAATTGTCCTTGTTTCTTCATTTTTCCTTCAAATTAGTGTTCCAGAATCATGCTATAGACAATGTCCCTAAAAGGCACTTGTAGGTTGAAATAAATGGCCTTAGTCCTCAGCCTCACAGAATACCTATCCATCTATCGTGGTGTGGGCTGCCACACTAAGGAAAAACACAGCATGAGCCTTCAGGCGTTGCCAAACTTCCTGGGACAAATCACTAATTTCCCAGACAGTTTGTGAATATCTATCTTCCAATTTCTCAGATAATTAAGTTCAAAATATGGCCTAAATTTTCTGAAAATATCAAGGAAAAGTATTCATAACTTTCCTCCAAAATGAACGCTTCTTCAGAGGAAAGTTGGCAACTCTCGAATGTTACTACAGCGTTCTCCCTTAGCACGGCAGTAGGTGCAGCTACACATTTGTGAACAAAAAATAGCTTCCTCTATGTAGCTATAAAATTCAAGAGTAGCTTATAATTCTTCATTGGTAAGTGAAGTTTCATCGTGGCGTATATTTTAGTTATATATTTTTAATGAATAGAACTTAAGTTCTAATTCCTTTACAAGCCATAGTCAAAGGTTTAAGTCAGATCCGTTTTCATATGGATCTTGATGCTTAAGATAAAAAGTAGTTAAATTTTCTGGGGCCTCTAGGAATATCTCGCAATTCCCGCAATATGTGTTTTCTATTTCCAGATTATTTTGTTTTATTTTGATTTATTGACTATTGATAAACATTGTTTTATTGACCATGTCGTTATTTTTATACAATGAAAGAATTAATAAAAGAATGTGCAAAATCTCCTGTTTTTACATGCATCCAGCCGTCCGACGCAAATATTAATTCATAAATGGCACTATACACGAAGGAATTATGTAAACAAAGATCTACAAACCATTCTTACCCATGATGGGACTTTTTTGTGAATTGTTTCTATGACAATAAGACAAGTATGATCATTATTAGGCTCCTACAAGCTCCGCATAATAAGAGACTTTACACAATAGTTTATTTTTTTTATTTGTCATCCAACAATGTTTTAACAGAATTAAAAATTACATCAAAAGAGAAAAAATAAATAAACACAAAAGGTTACACAATAGTTAAAAGAGATAATTTAAAAAGCAGGGGAAAAAATCGACCCTCCCCTGGGGACGTCTGTATATTCAGATTTTTTTAACAGTAGAAAATTTATATTTAACAAAAGCGGTTAGTTTCGCCCACTAGTCTAAACCCATAAGTGAGAATGCATGCCGGAAATATGGATCTGAAAGCCAAAGACGACCATTTTCATTTAATTTTTTTTTTGATTGATGATTATTTTTGACGAGAGAGCAACATCGACGGTGAAACTGCTCAATGCGTATCTGGGTTGCGGTATTTCAAAATCTCTGCTACTATTTTATTTTTTAAAAAGAAACCGAAACTATCATCATGGTTTGAAGTTAGCACAGAATATTCTTCATACTGATATTTTCAGCTGAATCATCGAAATTTTCAAAAACTGACGCTCAGTAGTTTTCCACGCGGAAAACAAAGTATGACAGGAAGTCTGCAACACCGCAAATCGAGATACACATTTCTTCAGTTTCACCATCGATACATATCAGGTGCGCTTTTTACGCTAATTGGATTACATTTTGCAATAAGGAGCCACTATCTCTGGCTCTTCCATAAAAGCACGTATCTGTAAAGGGATTCCTGGTAAAAATTTGCGATTAGAGCTGCGTTTCAAAATACCATAGGAATTCTTATAGCCGGCTAAAGAAGGCTACAGAAAATCATATAGCTGGCTGTAGAATGCGGAGAAAATCATACGGCCGGGCTGTGGGCTGTACGAAGCGATAACAAATTATGCAGCCGCGCTACAGTACCTATCGCCGGGCTTTACACTTTATCGCCTGGCTGTTGCTTTTTCGTCATCGATTATAAAAGGCTATTAGAAATTGTGTAGAAATTCGTGTGATTAGGAAATCATTAAGTTTGATACGGAACCACCTTAATATTTACAAAACACACATTATATTTTCCTTTATTACATTTTTTTTTTTCATCAATTAAAAATTAAAATGAGAATAATAATGGATGTGCAAACATTTCAAAATCATGAGTTGAATAACGCTGACTCCGCCGGATTAAATATTAGAGCCTAACACAAAGCGGAGCGGCGACGCATTGGCGCCTACAAACCTAACAGGGATACTTCACGCATTGCGCAACGCGTGAAGTATCCCTGTTTGGTTTGTAGGCCTGCCAATGCGCGTTTCGCGCTGGCTGCCCGCCTGCCGCTCCGCGCCGCAGCGTGCCACGGCGCTTGAAGCAACTATTTCACACCAGAGGTATTGCACAGTATCATACGAAACTGAAGGCGCTCTAATATATTAGGAATGGCAGGCATCCATCAAAAGTACGGAGATTTCCTTGCAAAATGAATCAAGATACTGCGGCCCAAAAAGAGAGCAGTAGTCCAAAAACTCACTGAGTCTCCAGCATCAACAGAAAGACAATCTGAAACGCTTCCAGACCTTCAAAGGTTCAATCAATAATTCTAAAAAAAATTAATAAATTTTAACTTTTGTGAAATTTATTCGAGCCTTTTTCATTTTCCATCTCTGCTGGGAAGGACCTCTAAATGGAGTGTCGGACAGGGAGGCAGCGTTGAAGGGACGACCCGAACTCGCTGCCGCGAGGGACGGCGAGGTCGAAGCAGGAGGAGAAGTCGTGGAAGGACCTGCTCTAAATGGAGTGTCGGACAGGGAGGCAGCGTTGAAGGGACGACCCGAACTCGCTGCCGCGAGGGACGGCGAGGTCGAAGCAGGAGGAGAAGTCGTCCCGGAGCGGGAGCGGGGGCGGTTGGTGGGCGAACTCGATGGAGTTGATGTGGAGCGGGTAGGGGTAGCGGTTGCGGGGCGCCGAGGTGGACATCTTCTTGAAGAGCTCCTTGGTGCGGGCCAGCTTGAGCGGGACGTCCCTGCCGCGGCGGAGTCGGAGCCGGGCCCTCGCGAAGACCCCGCCGCGGGCCTCCCGGAGCCGGCGAAGAACCAGCTTGATGACCACCCTCCACCAGCGCCGCCCGTCCCGGAGCATGAGGAACGAGGAGCCGCCCGCCCGCGGCTCGTCCTCCAGCGCGTCCGTGTTCGCGTGCGAGGAGTACCGCGAGCACACCTGCTCCTTCCCCTGAAAAACGTCCAACTCCCCGTTAGTATATCACTAGAGTACCTGTATAGGGAGTATGGACTTGTCGAAAGTTTTGAGGTTAGGTGATGGAGCTCTTAGACCCCAAAAGGCTAGGTAATCTATGAATTCAACTTATCCAGAGTGATTTATAATCAAAATTGTTGGGAAATGTCGTTGGTAAACCACGTATTTGACTTGGTTTTTGCATAAGCTCACTCATTTTTGCGGAAGAATGCTTACTCATTAATTTTCTTGTCAATTTTCGTTTGATGTTGGAGTCTAAAGATTGACAGTGAAATTTTTCGTTTTCGAAGGTTACCTACCCTTTTGGGCCATACGAGCTACATATTTCGAGTTGTCCATACTGAGGGCCGGCCGCCGGCTCCAAACTCATTGTTGAAATTTTGTGTTTGTCAAGTAGACATAGATGACATAAGTTAAAAAACGGAACTAATGGCAAGCTAAAGGCACCTCTTAAGTTTCCGGTATTATGTTGACCATTCCACCTGAAAAAGGCACGATAAAGCAGCAATAAGACATGGCTGTCCAGCCGCCTTTTAACCTATGTCATCTAGGTCTGTCCAACAAACACCAAATTTCAACAATCAGGCTGCAGATTGTTGAAGCTGACCAATCACGCTCCGCCTTTTAACCTATGTCATCTATGTCTATCCAACAAACACAAAATTTCAACAATCATCCTGCAGATTGTTGAATTTGATAGACAAAGCCATACGGAAAGAGGACAAAAGGAATGTAATTTTATAAATAATCTCCCAAGTGTAATTAAACGTTTACAAAAGAGATCGATCCTTTTCATCAGTGTTGTGAGACAAAAGAAACCCAATGCCATTAGTTACTCTATTACCTACCTCTTTTGTGCATTGCAACCACCCGCTTCCATCAATAAGAGCCCTCTATATACCTTCTGTCTTACTTGTCTATCAATTTCGATAATCAGCCCGCAGAGCGAAAGCTCGTCACTAACGTTTTCTGAGTGCTAGAGCTCTGTCGTCACTCCCTAGGAGAAGGGCTGAGTTTCTACAGGTGTAATGCGAGCATATATGACGAGTCACAATAAACTCCTCAGATTTTCTGTTTTTTAGATTTTGTCCTCCACGTTTTAAATCTAACGTTTCTATGAAGACTGAGAAGGGAAGGGTATCGATACCCTGGTAAAAATTGGCGGTAGGAGCAGCGTCTCAAAATACCATAGGAGTTCTTATAGCCGGACTGAAGAAGGCGATAGCAAATCATTATATAGCTGGCTGTCGAAAGTGGAAAAAATCATACGGCCGGGCTATACGAAGCGATAAAATATTATACAGCCTTTCTATAGTTCCTATCGCCGAGCTTTACACTTTATCGCCTGGCTGTTGCTTTTTCGCCATCGGCTATAAAAGGCAATGAGAAATTGTGTAGAAATCCGTAAGTTTTGTAAATCCTTAAGTTTGTACGGAATCACCTTAATATTTACAAAACGCACGTTATATTTTCCTTTACTACATATTTTTTGTCATCAATGAAAATGAGAATAATCCATACAGAGTGTGCAAACATTTTGGAGTCATGAGTTGAAAAACGCTGACTCAACGAGATTAAATAATAGAGCCTAACACAAAGCGGAGCGGCGTCGCACTGGCGCCTACAAACCTAACAGGGATACTTCACGCATTGCCGCCAATGCGCGTTTCGCGCTGGCTGCCCGCCCGCCGCGCCGCGCCGCAGAGTACCACGGCGCTTGAAGCAACTATTTCACACCAGAGGTATTGCACAGTATCATACGAGATTGAAGGCGCTCCAACATATTAGGAATGGCAGGCATCCTTCAAAAGTACGGAGCTTCCCTTGCAAAATAAATCAAGATACTACGGCCCAAAAAGAGAGCGGTAGTCCAAAAACTCGCTAAGTCCTAGCATTCGTAATTAGTAACGTTTAGCATACACTTTATCGCCAGGCTGTTGCTTAATCGCCATCGGCTATAAGAGGCTATAAGAAATTATGTTGCCGGCTGTAGAAGCTATTGGAAATCTTACAGCCGGCTGTAGGTCTATGGTATTTTGGAACACAGATTCTACTGCCAATTTTTACCAGGGTAAGGGCCGTTTATGGACTCACCCTGAATTTCCTCGACTCTACAATTTTGGGCTCATTGAGCTAGGGTCTATTTTTTACGGAATTCATTATGATTTGGTCATCCTGATCTCTTTTGAGTCTAATTCTGGCCTGTGGATTTTGGTCTTACGGCCGATTCCGGTGACAAATCCGAATGATTCGGCATTCTAAAGCAAACCAACAACCTTAACCATTGGTTAATTGATTACTGATCGTCAGTAGCGATTCTTCAAATTTGGCAACACTTTTTTTCGTCCATTTAAATCCATTAAGAATATCGATGTCAGGGGAGACAAAGCCCTGTTGGACAAAGTCTTGTTGGCTGCTGCCTCACCGTGAATCGATTGTTTTACACACCTTATCAGAGACAGGAGACCCTCCACTGGCCCCTTGGCGACAGGTGAAAGCTTTTACTTTCGAAGATTCAACTATTCCTTTTGGACAATTATTATAAGGAGGCAACAGTCATTACTCTTATTTGGACCGAGTTTAACAGAAAGGAATCAAGCCACATCAGCTATTGTCAAATTTAACTGGGCAATTAAATTTTTTACGAGAGAACGTTTGTGCGGATTCCTTTGAAATTTTTGGGGAATTTGTTTCAAACTATGCAGAATTTTTACTGCAATTTGCACGAAAATCCGCACAACCATTTTCGTGTAAAAAATTAAGTTTCCAAATTAAATTTGGTACTAGCTGATGTGGCTTGGTTCCTTTCTGATAAACGCGGTCCACTTCGGCTGTTGACCTACCTACATGGTGGATGATGAGCTTCGGATGACGTCATGAGCCAAACAAGTTTCCCAAACTTCGGCTTGCTCGCAAAACGAAACTGCCAACACGTTGATGAACATCAACCGTGTAAGTAAGTCAACAGTAGGATGCTGAAGTCCCGAAAGTAAAAGCTTCCACCATTGCCAAAATACCAGTGGGGGAGGGGGGGTCTCTTGTCTCTGCTTTAAATTGAGGGGAAACCTTGTTGCCACCTTTCAAGAATCGCCACTGCAGATCCTTATGGCCTGGTTACACGCTCAAATTCCCATCAATTTCCGATCAAATGGTGACTGGTGCGCACCATCTACCATCAAATTTCTGCGGCCTGCAAAAATTTGATGGTAGATGATGGAACTGTGGGGCACATCCTTCATCTGATTTCCACACAACCGTGCTTATTTTATGCTTATTTCAATCAACACGGTGTTTTAATTAATTTTACTCATCAATCTAGATAACTCTCGACCGCCATCTTGGTCATCATTTTGATCGGAATTTGACGGAAATTTGAGCGTGTAACCAGGCCATTAGGGGCTGCGGGATATATGGGTGGACTGAGGGGGTTAGTACCTGTAGCTGGCAGGTGGCTGCGTGGAGGACAGAGGCCTGGGTGGGTGCGGCGATGCGGGTGAGCTGCTGCTTCATGAGGCTCTGGATCGTGGCCGAGGGCGTCCGTTCGTGCTCCACCTCCCTCTCGCCGCCGGCGCTTGACTTCTCGTTCTCGGCCTTCTTCCGCGGCTGCGTCGACTGGCGCTTCATCGCCTCCACCTGACTGAACAACCCTCGCTGCTCCGCGAACTTGATCATGTATTGCGGGTCCAGGGATATTATCTCCTGCACCCAAAACCAACCTCACCATCCAACCAAACAGAAAATATCACAAGTCCAAACCAGACATAAAGACGGAGTGCTCGTATCTAAAAGCACGGGGAAAAAATGAAGCCTGGTTTGGCGCTGGGTGCTTGTGTGAGTGTGTAAATGAGCGCGGGAATTCATGGGGGCAAACGGAAATTTGATTTGAACTTGTCCTCTTGATTTTTCCACATTTCTTCCTCTAAACGTGTTTTAAATGCCTACAACGAATATATTAAGAAAGTTGAGACATTGAATTTTTATGATACACCTACTTTTGCTCGGTAACAGGCAGTAATCTCAGATAAAGTTGGTTTTTCTTCTGCTTATGGTGGTCCTGCCGCTTCAAACAGGCCGTTACAGTCCTAGATGGCCGTTACTCTCAAATGAAATTAATTGGTCGATGACGGACGAAAAATAACCTAAAGCTAAAAAAATATATGTGTGTAAGTGAATTTGGGCAAAAATCAACCCAGAATACTTTGTTTACGCAATTTTATTCAGTTCCCGCCCTACATTTGAATTTCAAACTTGTCCCGATTTTGCCGCCAATCCTCTAGCCAATAGTAGAGGTGGTTGAAAAGAAGCTTCATTTTTTGCTTTTAGCGCTCCGCCTTAATGTCTTTGGTCCAAACAGAAAAGATCCAAAGTCCAAACAGAGAGTAAGAGCAGCAATTTCAACGGGTCAGTTACGCTGGTCACAGAATCGTGTTTTGATACTTGATTCTTTTAGATAAGCTAAAAGTAATAAGATCCGTCCAAACCGCGACTTTCTACGTTCAGTATTAACCGAGATATATGGCCCTTTGAAAAGTCGGGTTTTTGACGTCATCCGCCGCGGTGGTGACACCCTTGGTTTCAACCACTTTGCTCTCATTCGGGTTTCATGTTGAATAACCAGTGCTAATGTGGGTCACATTGACTGATGAAACGAAGGTGGAAGAAACCACGGGTATTACTACCGCGGTGGATGACGTCAAAATGTCGAATTGTCAATGGGCGATGTTTCGGGTAGTATTGAACGTAGAAAGTTGCAGGTTGGACGGATCTTATTATTTTTAGCTAATCTACAAGGAATAAAGCCTCAAATCATGGTTCTAAAAGCCCAATACACACTAGCAAAATTTATTCATCCGACATAATTGAACGAAACTTTGGATGGAAAGTTGAACGCAAAATAATTTGATTCAATTACTCTCCGTTCAACTTTCCATCCTGCCAATTGGATGAAAAGTTAAGCAAAAAGTTGAATGTGACGTCACATCAACTTTCTGTTCGATTTTGATAAAATCGTCGTTTTCTCGAGTCAGTATCACACTATACAACTTTTCATCACGACAAGTTGCAGTTGAAAACTTTGAAAGTGTGAATTGGACTGCAATTTGGACCTATAAATTCCGGCCCGGTTTAAAAACAACGTATGTGCCATTAGTTTCCCTATGCACATAAGTGTTTTTTCAGATGAGCCAGAATTTATAGGTCCAAATTGCAAAATGCAGTCCAATTGGACTTAGCTGGCTTTGTCGGTGTGATAAGACAAGGCACGGCCCTATCTTTGCCGTTTAATAAATCGATTTTGATTCGTGTCGAGTCGACATAAATTTCAACAATCAAGCTGCTGGTGCCCGTATAGAAAATGACACGGGTTCATTACTCATCGAAAATATCTTGATGAAAAGAAGGAAAAGTGTATCAGTCGGAGATTTCAAAAATCTATTCTCCAAATTTTACTAAAGAGTTTGATGGGTAGTACATGCTAGTTTTTTCTCAAAAGCACCGAGCAGTTCGACCCATAATTTTGTTATTTCAACTAGAAATATAACACTTGGTGTCATAAATTTTTTTTCTTTTTCAAATCTAATGCATCATCGTTTCAAATCTCGCCGAACATAGTGCGGCTGAGGCCGCTGCCGCGCCGTGGCCGGTCGGCGCGAGACGCACAGAAGCCCCTACAAGACTGTACGAATACTTCACGCATTGCACGTTCACGACAGTTCGCGCTTTAATTGAAAATTCGTAATATCTCGGTGCTAGACGCTGGACCTACTGCATGCATTCTCCACCATCTCCGACCAGCGCGCACTCTGAGCCTGTAATTCTAGGAGCGAGGGATTTTAGAGATTTTGCTCCCCTGAAAGGTATCTTAGTCTATTGAGTCATTGATGTCGAAGCTCGGTTGTCTCTTTCTAATCGACTATCGTTAAAACGAGAACCTCGCTATGTCGAAGAAATCAGCCGGTCCCGCGAGTTATCGTAGAGAAATAGTAGAGTTATAGTAGATAGTTATAATTATAGTAGAGTTATAGTAGAGAAATTACTGTATTATTATTTTCGTCCCCTCTATAACCTCACCTGCAGTAATGCACGAGGAACAATCAGATAATGTAAATGTGAATGTGTAAATTACTGTTTTTTGGGTTTAGTTGTCTATATAGAGCGCATTTAGCAAAAAGGAACCAGTGCAATTACGGTGTTTTAAAAATGTTGCTTCCTCATAATTATCTAAAAACTCTCCGAGAGTAGCAAATAGGTTTTGCTTCTCACCAAAGAATCGTTAACTTTAAAGGAAAATAATTGTGGAAATGTTAATACTGTGCGTGCATTAATTATTTTTAAAAGTAAATAAGAAGGTGCACCATTTTGAAAACACTGTAATCGCGCTGGTTCCTTTTTGCTAAATGCGATCCATGTGTAAGACAGCTGTGCTTTGACGCAAAAAGAGATGTCGTCGACCCATTCCCGTCTTTCCTTTTTGCCCACTGGTAATTACCTAGCTCAAAGTAACGTTGTAAGGAGGAGGGGGCGGGTTATGATAAGCGAGATCATGCATCCTGCAAAATCAAAATTGTATTTCTCTTGAACCGATAACATTTCAGATTTGCTATCATACTTTGAAAAATGTATACGACTCGTGGTAACATCATGCGTCAAGTAATTTTTTAACCTGATTTCCTGTTGATCCATCACTGAGTCCAATTCCTCTGAGGCATATTCTGAGAAAACCATTTCATTTTCCAACCCTCATTAGCTTAGTCGAGGAATCATAGCTCCGTTCTTTCGTGGGGGAAACTACAAATTGTCCACGAGGAAATGTTGAATACCCGAAAGTAAAAATGTCCACGTGCCGCCAAGGCAGCTGATTATTGAAATTAATAGGCAAAGCGGTAGACAAAGAAGACACAGGGAACATGGAGCGATCCTACTGGTAAAAACGGATAGTTGTCATAGACGAAGGCGGATAATGATAGGGTCTCTCGCGGATTGCCGTTAGTTAGTCTAATTACTTGCCTCCTTTGAACGTACATTGTAACCACCGAGCTTCCACCAATAGGGTCGCTTGATTTTCAGTGTGTAGTCTTTGTCCGTCGCTTTGTCTAACAATTTCAATAATCAGCCCGCAGTGGAATGGTGCTTTGTCTCTAGTAATATTCTGTCGTGCTAGGGAAAAACGCCGTATGAACATTCGAGAGTTGCCAAATTTCCCTCGATAAAATGTTTTTTTTAAAGGAAGTTATGCATATTTTTCCTTGAAATGTTTACATGTTTTAGATTAAACTGCGAACACTATTGTCTGAAAACTTGGAATAAAAATATTCATAACTTTTCCAATAAATTCGTATTTTATCAAAGGAAAGTTGGCAATGTCTGATGGCTCATACGGCGTTCTTCCTTAGCGGCAGTATTGTGCTGAGGAAAAACGCCGTGTGGACATTCGAATGTTGCCAAGTCGCTCCGTTAAAAACTGGGATCAAATAGAACCCTGAGTTCTTGGTAATTTTACCCTTTTCTCAGCAAATACACCTGGATTTCTTTTTCAGTGCAAGGTCTCTCTTGTCCAAGGGCGTAAGTTCACAACTTACTCTATTTTTTCGTTGCATTCTTGGCCTTTTGAAGAGTGCGAACATGTATCTGGGATATTTTTGTCGTGGAAAAAACGAGCATTGCATTTAAATTTTAGTCTTTATCAAAAGTCCAGTTGAATATGCCTAAAATGGGAAATGAAACTTCCAAACTCACTTTAAACATTTATTTCCCCTATTTCTTCCTATAATTGATTTAAGTCAGTTTAAAGTCTTCATGGCCCGTGATACTAAATGTAATTGTATTCAATTTTACGCTCGTCTCACTCAAAAAATTACAAAACATTTGGACTTATTTATGCTAAAATTAACCATTTGTATCCTAAATAGTGGGTTATGAAGAATGCAAATCGTAAGAACATTGGTCTTTCTGATATAATTCGTTTGCACAAAGTTCATTTCAGCATAAAAATGTTCATATACGGAATACGAAGAAAAGTTATCTAAATTATCCTTCCTCACAAACTTTAAGTTGAAATAATCACTCTAAGTCCATGTTTTGTATGTGCTATGAACATTTTTGTGAGCCGGGATTTCTTGGTAAGCGGAAATCATTCATCAGCCAAGCTTTAAATCAAACATGCATTGTTTTGGTGAGGATGTGACTTATTTTCGGTTCATGAATCTTGGTTCAATTAACTATCCCACGCCCTGTACTGCCGTACTTCCAACTTTTGACTAAAAGGCGCCTGCATAGATTTCGAGCGATAACTATTTGACCACGGTTGTCGTGAGGCTGCATATACGATGATTTGAAGGCGATTTTTCGTGCGTACAGAAAATACACACTTTAGATTAGACTCGGTCATACTTTAGCTATGAGCCTCAAAGAGAATTATGCTTGTTTTCTCTCGTGTTACGTTTCTTAACATAGAAGTAAGCCACTATTCTGCCTCGAAATTTTGTCGGTATTTCCTTCACAATTCGCAATTTTGAAAAAATTCGCAGATAGTCTAAGACATTTAATTGATTGGTTTTCTGTTGCAACAACTGAACTAGCAGAAAAATATGCAATATAAAATTCAGTTTTCAGTTAGGATGATTATATGTAAATTAATCCAATCTGCCACACAGCAAACTGATTATTGATATTGAAAGACAAAGCTATAGACAAGAAAGACAAAGAGAAAATTGGAGCGATCCTATGGGTACATTTGGTGAATGGTTTGGTGAATGTTGAAATCGATGTATATTGACATAAAGAAGAGTTTTCTGAAGAGCTTTGAGAAGATGGGTGACTTTGACGGCGAATGTCGCAGAGCGCCAGAAAGCGCTGTAAAAGTGGCTATTATGTACATGTTTATATTGACATAATTTACCTTCCGTTTGATAAACGCAACAAAAAGGCCAAAATCCTCCATTCGCCAACAATTTTCATGCTCATCGCAGAGGTCTGGGATCAACCCGAACTCGAAAAGATCACAGTCTGGAGCCTGCAAATAGAAATATATATATCTATTTTGAAAAAATCGTGAGTATAGTCTTAATGGACGAGATCAGCAAAATTTTCAGCGAAAAGTTCTACAAAGTTCTAGACGTGATATTGGGTGTGATAGACATTTTTTTATATCCAACTTCTGAATTGAGTTCGGATTGAACTTCGATGAATATTTTTGCCGAAAATTAAGCTTTGAGGGTCATCATTCATTTCTCAGCCGATAATGTGTAATCCTCTGGGTCAGGTTTGTTTACATTGGGCCAACTTTGGATATCCTGAAACTGATGGACCAATCAGAGAGCTGTATAAAGATGGCAATACTCTCCCGTATACAGGAACTCTACATGGAGACAGACTAGACATGGAGAGATAAATAGGTGACTTTGACTAGATATAGAGGTGGACTCTCCGGGTAGCATGGAATATCGCCTCCATTACGGCCTGAACTTTGAGAGCTTCTCATGAGCTTGAGAGTTGATTTTAGAGAAAACCGGTGGCATCATCGTGTTTCTCTGAAATCAACTTTCTTTAGTGTAAGATTTAGTGCTTAAAATGTAAATCCCTGACAAATGCGAGAACTCCACCCAAGTCCCAAGTAGCAATAATCGCGATAAGTTGCAATTTAATCGGAGGATGTGTCGCAATTTTGTCGACGTCGATTTTTTGCAATATTATGGGATAGAAAAATTGCGATAAGTTATGCGATCTCATCGTAATAGCGATTTTATCGACGGCGATTTATCGCAATATTATCGGACAACAATCGTGACAAATTGAGGTAAAATTTCGATTTTATCGAACGCGATTTATTAGAGATAAAATTGCGACAAGATGGAAAATAATCCCTCAGATCATGATCTTAGCGATTTCATCGCCAAAAAATCTGAAACAAATCACAAATCAATTGATTCCAAAATATTGCGACCTTCCCAATTGAAAAATGCTACTTGGGAAGGTGCGTCCACCCTCAAAGAGAAGCATTCTGTCAAAAACTCGGTGTCTGAAAATTTGACAAGTATGCCTTTCTTCGAATGACCCGTTCAATCGAGGCATTGAAATAGACAAAAAAAAAGGAATAAAGAAAAAAACAAACAAGCAAGTATGCCTTCCTTCAAATAACCCGTTCAATCTAGGCATTGAAATAGACCAAAAAAAAGGAAAAAAAGAAAGAAACAAACAAACAAACAAACAAATAAACAAACAAACAAGTATGAATCTGGCAAGTAAGCCTTTCTTCGAATAACTCGTTTAATCTATAGGCATTGAAAAATAGACAAAAAAAGAAAATAACAAAAATTAAAAAAAATAAAAAATAAAAAAATAAGAAAAGAAGAAAAAGAAGAAAAAAACAAACAAACAAACAAACAAACAAACAAACAAACAAACAAACAAACAAACAAACAAACAAGTACGAACCATGTTCTCGGAGGTAGACGCTGGACGCTCGGGGCTGAGCTTTTCGTCCCTATCCTGTCCGTCATTTTCCTGAGCGTCGATCTCGATATCCTCCATTTGTGCTTTATCCTCCTCCTCATCCGCCTCCAGTCCCTCCGCCTCTCTCCGTCTCTCCTCCTCCTCGGCTGCTTTCTGCTCCACTTTCTTCTTCTCGTTCTCCCCGAACTTTTCGTTCGCGTATGCGTTCAACTCGTTCAAGAGCCGGGTCACCATTTCTCGGTTTTCCTTTTCGTACTGCGAATGCGTTTCGTACACGATGAACTGGATCTGTTTTTCAACAAAATCAAAACATGATCATAAAATGACTTGCCATGCTGAAAAGAACGCAAGTTTTACTTCAGATTATTAATATCTCAATTTTTCAAAAACTGCACTTATGCGCCTTGTCCTCCAAGCCCCTCAAATGGACGTATTTCTGCCAAACAGAACTATGTGCATCAAGACATGAGCCCTATGAGAATATATACATAACAGGGCTCACGTCATGCACATAGTTCCGTTTGGCAGAAATACGTCCAAATGTAGTCCCCACTCCCCAGGCTATTTTTATTCATTTTTATTTATTACTTTATTTTTCTTTATCAATCATTGTTTTTTTGCTTCCTTTTGGTGGCCTGGGTTTTTATCAAATTTATCTCAACTCTTATCTACTAAACCAGGTTTTACCCATCAGTTTTCCCCCAGTTATTTTCAAGTACAGTTTTTAATGAACAACCTCTAAATACTTAACACCCTAAAACTTCATTGTAGTACAATATCTCTAATCTCTAAACTCATATTAATACCTTTATAATTAAAGGTAGTCGATGTATAGAATTACTTCAATGTCTAAGATGTCATGTTTAAATGGAGATGTTGCATGTGTGAGGGATTTGCGATTTGACTGGTGTTTCTTACGTAAAAGTTCGCGAGGAACACGATGGTGCCACTGGTTTCCTCTGAAATCATCTCCCAAGCTCAAATAAAGCTCTCAAGTTGAGGCCAAAATGGAGGGGATATCCCACGCTATCCTGAGAGTCCACCTCTACATCAAAACAAACCCTCCATGCAAAGATAGGAAGCAAATACATTAGCAGGGTTGCCGTTTTCTCAGTTTTGGAGTCCCCAAATAAAGTGGCAGCCCTGTCAATGTATTTGCTCCCTATCTTTGCATGGAGAGTTTTTTTTTTATGTAGAGGTGGACTCTCAGGGTGGGGTGGGATATCCCCTCCATTTTGGCCTCAACTTGAGAGCTTTTTTAGAGCTTGGGAGTTGATTTCAGAGAAAACCAGTGGCACCATCGTGTCTCTCGCGAACTTTTACATAAGAATCAATGGTCAAATCGCAAATTCCTCACACATGCAATATCTCCATTAAAGGTAGTCGATGTATAGGATTACTTCAATGTCTAAGATGTCATGTTCAAATCGTAATTTGCTTTTGACACAAAACTATATACATATACACACACTCCCCAAGAATCACCTGGGGCTTGGTCATGGCGACAAGGAGCGTTCTCTGTTGTTCCTGGAGGATCTCGTTGATGTTCTGGAGTGCCTCTCCGTGGGCGTCTTGGGGATGTCCTTGGGTGAGGTTCTTGAGGAGTTGGAGGTCGCCGCCTCTGGAGCAGACGAGGTCCACAGGGTCGACGACGCCGTAGTAGGTGTTGGGCGGGGTGGCCAGGACTCCGACGACGTTCTCCAGGATGTTGCTCGGGTCCGAGATGAGACCGCTGAAGCTCCCCGCGTGCAACTCCACGTTCTTCACCCCCAGCCCACTCAGGTAATCTTCGTACTCCTCCACCCTGCCAAGCAAACAGGTCCCTCCTAGAACGCCTCACAGTGGATCGAGTCAATAAGAGAACTCAGCGGGCCGATTATTGGAATTGATAGACAAAGCTATACACAAAGAAGACAATAGGGGGTACAAAGCAATCTTATTTGTTGAAATGGGTGGTTCTCATAGACTAAGGGGGAAAATGATAGACTAACTGTCGGGTCTCTCGTGGGTTGCTGTTAGTTAGTCTATTACCTACCTCCTTTGTCCATTACAACCACCCGCTTCTGCCAGCAGGATCCCTCCAAATCCTTTTTGTCTTCTTTGTCTATTGCTTTGTTTATCAATTTCAATAATCAGCCCGCAGACATGATTTTGAAACTTAACACTTTTTAAACTTAACACTTTTTAAACTTAACACTTTTTAAACTTAACACTTATAACCAAGAGGTCCCGGGTTCGATTCCCGGCCAGGTGACCTGAATTTGATGGTCTCAGACGATGGTCACCTGGGGCTGGTGGTGAGCGTGGGATTAGCCAATCGGGGCTATTTGAAGCTTGTGAAAAAAAATAAAGAAAGACAAAAAAAAACTTATAACTCCGTTTATACAAAACTTTGAGGTTCTAAAGTGGTTAAATTAGTTTCCCCGTGGAATTTTCTTCTAGGAGCACCCCTTAAATTTAAAATGTGACCAAATAAACATCAAAATTCGCGGTTTTGGTCCCAAATTTCATGTCCGACCTCTCTAATTGATTGAATCCCTATGCGCCTCCCAGGTAAAACTTGGCTATAGGATTTGTGTTCCAAAATAGCATAGGAATTCTTAAAGCCGGCTGTAGAGGGCGATAGGAAATCATATAGCCGGCTATAGACAGCGAAGATAATCATGAGGCCAGGCTATACGAAGCTATAAAGAATTGTAAAGCCGGGCTATAGTTAGCATCGCCCGGCTATGTGGTTTATCGCCTGGAAATAGCTTCATCGCCATCGGCTGTAAAAGGCTATGGAAAATTTTATAGACGGCTATAGGTCAATGGTATTTTGGAACACACATCCTATAGCCAATTTTTACCAGGGCTATTTTTCCCGTATGAAGGTTATTTTTCCAGGATTTTAAGCAAAAATGTTAATTAGTTTCCTTCCAAATCCTACTCGAAGCCTGCGTACTTTAGAAAGGTTTCATCTAGATACAATCAGTAGGTTGTTGGTGAAATGTAAACCATTCGGCAAGTTGCACAGCGCACTGTTTCCGAGGAAGGTATTGCCAAAATTTCCAAGGGTTCAACTTTGCGCAAAGTTTCGAAATATGGTGAACACCGAGAAGAAACAGTTTGCTACAAGTTGAAGGCAAATAAATTGCAAACGGCGATTTCCACCTTAAAAATAGTTTTTATCGTCTTTTAAAGCTATTTAAGCTCACCAAAACTGCTTTAAACTAATCCCTTCCCCCCTCCAAATACGACTTGGCTTCCTTATGGTTTAGTCCGGGAATTCAAACAGTCCTAACTGTCCTAACTTCAAGAGGAGAGAGGAGACTATTCTAAATATTTTGAATTGGAAATTAACGAAGGATGACCGACTCCTTTTGAAGAATCGATGTCATAATTTGAGCATTCCAACATTCTGGTAGGTTTAATACTCACTTGTTATCCGATGCAAAAACGAGGAGTTTTTCTTTCCTGTCGTCTATGGCCAGGAGGTTTGCTAAGTAGCAAGTTGTTCTGATTGTGTTGATGTGAGTTTGAGCTATTGAACCCCTCACATCAAGCTCTTTGACGATGTTCTGAACCATGGCGGCACCCACACAAAATGAACGATCCTGCAAAAAAGATTCAAAATTATGGTATTTTTGCCCTCCTTTTTCCTTTCAAAATTATGGTCAACGTAGAAAAGCACAACCTGATGAGTAGAGGCTGTGGTTTTACTAATTACAATGAATCATAAGCGTTACTTTCAATAATTGCTATTATGACAAATTATATAACAGTTAAAAATTCATTATTCGAAAGGAAGTTGAAAAACTTTACACACAATCGGTATGCAACTGTCCACTCTTGTTGTTTTCCGACGAAAATCTAAGAAATTTTCCGCCTCAACAATCAACATTTTATGAGCATGTATTCTATAGATTGGTAAACATTCACCACTGCAAAAATGTCAAAGAAAATTGACAAGCCCAGCGTCCATGGAGGCTATTTCCAGTTTAATATTCCGTCGCATTCCCAAGGCGCGGTGATACAACTATTTGAACTCTCCGGAATGCGTGAGGTATCACGCCGCATTTGAAGGCGTTTTGAAATCAGCCAAGTTCCGATACCCGGATTATCGTTTTGCATAGTTCATATTCTTTTGATATATTCCGTACCACTTGTTTATTTTTAATCCTCGTATAAAAACCACCCATTTGCTAAGTACAATTATTGTAATTCTTTAACCGTGAAATTGCAATAGTTTTACATCATTTAGTCGATTTATACCGATTTTAAACAATCAAAAAAATGAGCTCCGTGCGTCAGAAAGATAGGCGATGTGCAATGCAATCAAAAATTGCAACTTATTTCAATTGTACTTCAACAAGTTTCAATAAATGAGGCCCATTCAAATAGGAGCTAGGCAACATCCAAAACACTTAGATGATGTGCAAGATGTTTACTATGTGATTGCTGCTTATTGCAATTTGTGCTACTTGGGAAACTCGCAACTTCCTTTCAAAATATCGCAATTTTTCCATTGAAAAATTCTACATTGGGATAGTAGGTTTTATTTACAATCGTTGAAAGGAAGACAACGTGACACAATGGGAAATAAAGAGCGATCATTGAGCGGTATACTCAATTTCAAACGCTCAATACTAAGCGTAGAGAAATCATAATGCATAACTGGATTTGGATTTTTCGTCGAGTAAGGTTCCTTTATCCGTATAGAGTCACAAATGGACGTATTTTTGCCAAACGGAACCGAAGAAAAGTGGAAAAGAAGGGGTGTGTTTATAAGTCGAGGGCCGCAAGAATGGATGGGAATTATAAAGCGCCAGTGACGTCAGCGGCAACGGGGCCGGCACGGCGCGGCGCCGCAGTCGCCAGTGTGAATGGTTAACTCATGAGCCCTAGAGTACCTTTATAGACAGAGTATGGCCATTTCTGTTCCGGTTTTTCATTGGTCGCGAGCGAATAGGCTGATACGATGCTCTTAGGGCCGTAAATAAACAAACAAGATGGCCGTTATCAGCAAGCAAGATTGAGGTTATGCACATCTTACATCCTCCTGTGATAAAGGTGGAAGGCAATTTAACAATGTTTTCATGTGTTTTTCGAGTACTATTCGAAGATATGCTCGTTTAAATTGTTACTGCCGCATAATTGAAATTTTTGTCAAATTTAGCTTCTCATCGATGTTACGGTGAGCCGCCATCTTGTTTGTTTATTTACGGCCCTTAGAGCATCATGAAGCCTAAAAACTCGTTGACCAATCAAAAAGCGGAACAGTTTTCCTGTAGTAAAAAGATACGAATGGCCATACTCTGTCTATAAAGGTACTCTGATGAGCCCAGTGGCGTAACAGACTTCCGCTGGGCCCCCCTGCAAAATTTTTTCTAGGCCCCCTCCCATGTCGATAAAATTCCAAAATCATCCCCCCTTCCGCCCCTCTACTTCCCTCACCCCTTCCCGTTTTTCGGCCCGAGTTTCAAATCACGGACTTGAACTTGGAATGCCTCTCCCCTCACTGTCCCGGATCCCGTACCAGATTAAATGGGGCCCCTAAAGGATCAAGGATCTAAAGGATGGGGGGGGGCCAGCCCAGGCCCAAGGATCTACAAAAGGGCCCATGCAGGCCCAAGAATCCAAGGGCCTTGCGGGCCCTTTAGATTCATGCGTCACCCAAAGCCCGAAATACCTACGAAAAGTGACAAAAAAGAGAAAAATTTTAGTAATCACTGAGTGGACATTGGAAGGCAGGGGCCCTTCAGCAAAAAAAAAGTTAGGAACAGTCCAAAAGAAGTATGAAAAATCCTGAGCTAACAATAAAAATCAGCGGAAGAAGCCCCATCTCGGTAAGTAAAGGCCCAAAGTTTGAAACCAAAGCTAAGCATCAAAGAGACAGAGAAAAACAAAATTTCGGCGGCCGACGGCCCGGAGGGCCCCCTAGGTGCTTGGGCCCCCTTGCATAGCAGAGTCTGCGGGGGCGCCCGTTACGCCACTGACAAGCAGTAACTCCAGCGCACTGCCGCTGGAGAGCGGCTCTGGGCCGCTCATATCCAAGACATATATAAACTACTAGCCGTGTTCAGCTCACTGTGCGAGCTGTCACGCCTAGCCGGGGAGTGCCCCTGGACCCCCACTTCTTCACTTCGCGATGAACTTGCGACTCGTTCCGCGAGCCGCCCCTCATAGCTATTAACTTTTAAAAGAACGAATTTACTTTTTTTAACGAAGTATGGTGAATAAAGGCGAATATGTTATCTTTGTCCTCTACCACAATCAGCAGACTTAGCATTTTATGCCACGGCCGCCATCTTGGATTTTGAAATTTTGAAAATCTGACCAAAAATTCGAGTTTCCCGTTGAAAAATACCTCCGGGTACCGAGTTTCACAAAAATTGATCAAACAGAAGCCGACTTAGCGTTTTAGGCCATGGCCGCCATCTTGGATTTTATAATTTTGACCAAAAATTCGAGTTTCCCATTGAAAAATACCTCCGCATACCGAGTTTCACGAAAATTGAGCAAACATGAGCAGACTTAGCATTTTATGCCACGGCCGCCATCTTGGATTTTGAAATTTTGAAAATCTGACCGAATATTCGAGTTTCCCGTTGAAAAACACATCCGGATACAGAGTTTCACGAAAATTGAGCGAACCCCAGTCAGTCCGCAATATTTTAAAAACATTTTAAAAATATTTTCATTATTGCTATTAAAATATCCTCTGAAAAATATTAATACAACTTTTTTAAAATAGTTTTAAAAAATATTTTTGAAAAAGTTTTAAATAACATTGCTAAAAAATTTTGAAAATAATTGGAAAATACTTTTAAAAAATAATTTACATAGCAATATTGTAAAAATATTTAATGTAATTATTTATAAAATGAAAGCATAAAAATATTTTTATAATATTGTCACGTAAATAATTTTTAAAAAATATTTTCCAACTATTTTCAAAAATATTTCAAAACTTTTTAAAGTAATATTTTGAAAATATTTTTTCGAAAATATTTTGAAAATAATTCAAAAATATTGTCTGTAAACATTTTTAAAATATTAATAAAAAGTTTTGAAAATATTTTTAAAGTATTTTTTAAAAAATATTTACAAACAATATTTTTGAATTATTTTAAAAATATTTTTTAAAAATATTTTCAAGTCCTTATTTTCAGTTATTATGAGGTGTTATTTACATTAGTGTAAATTTAATGTAAGTACCTATTACGTGAGATCGAAAAAAACAAATAACAGGAACGAGCCGCGCACTGACGCAACGCATGCTATAACAGGCGTGATTTTAACCCGGCCCACCATGAGCTCTCTGTGGCTCAGTGGCTAGAGTGCTCGGCTACCAAACCCGCGGCCCAGGTTCCAGTCCGCACGAGGGCGT